ATCATCATCATCATCATCATCATCATCATCATCATCATCATCATTGTAAACAGCAAGGAATAAAAAAGGGTTGAGACTTGTAGAATTTCCAAATTTTATAAGGGTTCTACATTTCTCCCGGTAAAGGGCTTCATCAGGAACATGTAAAAATATTATTATCATCATCATCATTTTTGTACATAATTTCTGATTATTTTCCTGAATCATTCTTTGTTAAAATTAACAGAATCGCATAATTTCACATTTTCGGGCTCATTTCGCATAATTTCAGAAGTTTTCTTGCATAACACGACGGGGGACAGTTCAATCCTACAAGAATACCATAGCGGACACCCACCATGCTTCAAGATGTCCCTCTCCAGAAGGTCCCGGAAGTCTTTGAGGGCCTCGGAGCGGTCGGCCCCGGTCATACAGACAAAGTCCAGCACATCACAGCCGTAGAAAGCCTCGGAGTAGAGCGAGCCTTTGTGGTAGAACTCTCTCATAACGTTACCAGCCTCGTTCTTCAGTCTGTAGGGAGAGAATAGATAAATAAATAAGTAGATAAATAAATAAATAGATAAATAAATAAATGAATAAATAAATAAAAGATTATTTTATATATTTTTTATACTCCCTGGGGAAATTTGTGTTACAATGGCAAATGTTAAACATACATAGATACGTAATTATAAATGTTCACATACATAACATACAAAAAGTACAAACATACATTAAACACATACATAAATACTTTCATAAATACATATAAATGCACAATATTACACCAATAGAAAACTTTTTCATAAACACGCCATAGCTGGTCACCACTGATCAGCGCCCTGTTTTTGGTGGTTTGGAGGGGGGGAGGGGGTTCTTTCTTTTTTGTTTGCTAGTGTTGTCGTGTCTTGCTGAAAAGTAAATTTCAAAGAAATGCTGAAACCGAGAGGAAGTGGAGTCTTTACTTGTTCCAAATGTGGCAAACTTTTCTCTGTCAGAATTGGTCTCATCTCATCCGCCCCAGCAGAAGCCCCACAAGTCTTCTTAATCTTTATATTAATTCTTCAAACGCTTCTATTTCACAGGAGAATTAATATTCTCCTCTGCGGATGTATCGGTCATCATCAGACTGTGGCGAACGAGACATTATTGTTACTAATAGGCTTCAATGACACATATATTGAGATGGGGGGTTGTTGCGTGTATGTGTTTGGGTTTGTGATTGCAAGTGTGTCTCTGTATGTGTATATTATCATATTATGTGTGGGTGTGGGTGTATGTTTAAATGTGTGTGGGTTTATAGGTGTGTGCGTGAATGTGTTTCCTTGTGTGCTTGTTTGCAAGTTTGTGAATAATATATGTGAGGAAAAGAGTGCGAGTCTGTGTGTTTGTGTGTGTGTGTGTGTGTGTGTGTGTGTGT